CTCCTACCTCCTTCGTCTCTCCTCCCACCTTTCATCTGTGCATGTGTGTACGGGATCTGGGTATCTTCTATGCATGACCCAGACCCCACCATCTCATGATTGTATGTGTGTGGAGTGATGCCATGTAGGTCAGTCTATGTGAGTCAGTCTATGTGAGTCAGTCTATGTGAGTCAGTCTATGTGAGTCAGTTCGTTATAAGCCTTCCACTGCATAAAAACTCATCCTATATTGGTTGATTCTTGGTTCTGCCCATACTCATTGGAGTATGTAACAGTCTGGGTTGTCAGTCACAGGGCCTCGGTGAAATCCCAGGGCCAGTTTGTCGACCCCCAGACCCAAGGGTGTCAGTGTCTGATGGTTAAACAATAAATACTAAACAAAGCTGTTTGCCCAGCTGCCTGGATGTCCTAGTCTAAGAGGCATTTTGCCTGGGCAGGGATATCTGGCCAGGGACCGAATTCGCCAGCCCAAAAACTTTCTGGCCCTAGTTATCTTTGTTTTTTTTTTTTTTTTTTTTTTTTTTTTGAGAACACCCTGGCGGGAGCTAGGGGTGGTTTCCTTTTCTTTTAACCACCATCAGGCTCAGCTGGTGCGAATGTGCCGATGAACAGTCGGTTGATTTGACACGATGGAATGTGAGATTGTATTTAATTTAGCAGTGTGTCCCTCCTGCTATTGATTGCAGAAAAGGAAGTAAGATCATGCTTGCAACTTATTCTGCTAATGAAGGACTAGGCAGAGTCTAGGCCCTCGTCAGAAGCGGTTATATAATATTCTATCAACCAAAAATCCACATTGAGTGTGCCTAATTCATGATAATATCTGACTGAATGACTCCTGTTCCTTGCCTTCCGTGGCTTTAAACAACCACTACCTTTTAGGCTTTCCCATGTGGGCTGCCGTCGGGCCCCCAAATCTTTAGGAGGCTGAAAGCCTGGAACGAAACGACGGCTGCCGATGAGATTAACCAAGGGCGGCCATCGTTGGGCCCGGCTTCCGGTTTTTTAGGAGTAGGATATTTTCCCGTTTTCCCGACAGCGGGAAATGGTAGTGGTGCTTTAACTGCTTTAACTGCCTTTTTTCCCTTTTCAGTTTCTTCCCAGATCGATTATCTACCCAAAATGAAATAAAGACCCAAAGACCTATGATGGTAATAAATATGGTTAACCCGATTAACATAACAAAAGCATAATGGTACACAAAGCCACTTTGAAGTGTACTTATTTGCTTTGCTAATTTTTTAAATGTGGTGGAAATTCCATAGGGACCCAAAATGGAAATAGCACCTAGTTCTGTTCTCATTTCCTGCTCTCAAAAAAACCACCGTGTAACACACAAATTAGGATAATCTATGCTCTGACTTGGCACCACACCGCTTTCACCTGCTCAGCCTGATGCAATTGCACACAATTTCTTCAGATGGTTTTGAAATTCCTGAAATATTTGGTTTGTAGTACTTTGTACATCAAATAGCTTCTCAAATTCTCAATCGTAAATTAACTGGTACCATGGGGCTCGCGTGGCCCCCTGTTGTTTGTACATTGAATACCTTCTCAATCATAAATTACCTGTTATGGTAATCGTGGCCCCCTGTTTTTTCAACTTTTTTGTACACCGCCAGTGTCACACTTTCAGTTTCTAGAGGGCAAAAAAAAACATGTGCGGGCAACAAACTCGCGCGCCGAGTTTGAAAGGGCAACAAAAGCATTTTTACCCGTGCACCGAGTTTGGAAAGGGCAACAAAATCACACGCGGGCCGCAGCCATTTTTACCGATATCCCCCCTAAGGCTTTCAAACTCCGCACCCTATTTTGTTGCCCGCACATGTTTTTTTTGCCCTTTCGAAACTGAAAGTGTGACACTGCCGGACCTGTTTCTAGCTTCCCAATCATAAATTAACTGTTACCGTGGGGCCCTGTTACAGTCTCGTCCATGTCTGGAAGCAAACCAGTTGCTCATTTTGCAAGCAACTTGTTGAGTGCACGTTGTCACATGTTTGCCAAGTTGAGGGAACAGGAAATCAGAAGGGAGATGATGAGCATGGTTTAAAATCTACCTTCGGAATCTGAGCTCTGCCTTTTGCAATCAACTGCATAAAAGTACCTTGCCTTCTGCAATCGAACTGCATAAAGGCACCTTGCCATGATGTTCTTTTGCTGTTCACTGTGTTCCCATTTTCTTCAAGTTTCAACGAATAACTTACTGGGCGAACATGTCAACAAACACGGAATTTGATGTATCTGGGTCAACGGGGTGTGTGTGCAGTCCCTCCCAGACGTGTCCATGTGATGCACACAAAAACTTACACATACATGCACAGTCTACCCCCCACATGTCTACATGGGATGGGCAGAAATATACATACACCCGCCAACATGTAAACATGTGCACACACACACACACACTGTCACACACTGATGTGAATGTAGGGAGGTGTGGCAGAGCTGAGGTTGAAGTGTGAGTGAGGAAAGGGACAGAAGTGGACGTACTTGGTGAATGAGGGTTGTAACCTGGAGCTGTGGACGTCTTCTTTGTTGATCCGAGCGCGACCGGTGGATTGACCAAGCTGGAGAGATACACCAAGGAGTTGACATTAAGAATGGGGGAAGATGGTCTGCAGTTGGGGCCATCTTCGAGCGAGGATGCTGTAGACCGCTGAAGCTGTCGGGTAGCCTCTTCGGGCTCTTGTCGCAAGGGCAGGCGGTTCTGAGAGTCCATGGTTGTTAGTGGCGACGAGTGAGTAGCGTCCAGCTGCAATCCCAACCCCAAAGATAGCATGTCCCTAACTTGGGGGAGCGACGGAGACCGAAGCTGAGCCGATGATGGAGGTGGGGGCAGCTGAGGTTGGTGCAATCTGGATTCGGCAGGTACCGTTTGCGCGAGCACGCGCGCTTGAGCATATCCATTCGACAGAGTCGAGCAGATGGGAATCGAGCATCCAGGTGATCTGTCACCTGACCCGTCGCTTGACGTGTCAGCCCCTTGTGGAGATGGCGAGGCCAATGAATGCGAAGCAGACGCAGCCGCTGTGACTGTCACTGAAGAAGACGCTACAGTTGCGGATCGATCTCCATGACTCCGGGAACCTTGACGTTTATACCTGGAGTCACCAATGTGGCCAGGATGTCGATCCCGGTCCGTTGCAGAGCTGTGCTCCTCTGGTTCATGCTCTTGCTGATGCTCTTGCTGATGCTGTTGCTGCAGCTGTTTGTCATGCTGATCCTCATGAATCCCCTCATCGTCTTCCTCGTCCTCTTCATCATCATCATCATCATCATCGTCGTCGTCATCATCCTCGTCCTCCTCCCCCTCTTCCTCGTCTTCTCCTTCCTCTTCTACACCCTCCTCATCCACTTCTTGTTGCCGTCTTCTGTGTGCCGATGGTAACGATTCCACCGTTCCCCGACATAAGAGCGGATGTGTGGCAGAGTCTGCAACACCTCCCTTTTCTGTCTGACGGGATTTCTCGTTACTACTTCCCTCTTCTCCACCAGAAGTTCCTGCCATGGTGCTGTCTGCCCTGCCTCTTGCTCCCTGCACCCCTTCCTGTTCGTGTTCCACCCTCCGAGTACCCCAATCGGGTGGGCGGGGTACGGCAGCAAGCGCATCCGACCAGGCTACTGTCTCTGCCAGGTGTCCAGCATGCTGCCTCACGCTTGGGACATGGAAACCAGCCTCGCAAAGCCTTGTTATGTATGCCAATCTCCCTCCCCAGTTTGTTGTCTCCCCCCTGGTTACAAGCTTCACAACCTTGGCTATGGTGTTTCGTCCCATGGGACGTGGAGAATACCATCTGGTCGTCGATGACCATCCTGAGGGGGGCGCAATGTGGAAGGGCGTCTTCAGCAACCGCTCATCATCCTTGAAATCTGGACCCCGTTGCTGCATCAAGTCCATATACCGATCCATCGCCGAGACAGGACAATGCTGCACGTCCCACGGCATGTCGTAAATGCGCTGCACGGATGCATGAAAGGAGGAAAAAGGACGAGTAGGCGGGTGGTGGTGGAGAAAAGAGAAAGGACGATACATCAGCCCCCAGGAGCAACACACGATAGATAAAGAAATAATGGAGGGGGGATGGAAGTCACTGTCGTTGAAGCAGTCAAAGCTCATCATAGAAAATTAACTAAAATCTGTTCGTTATTAGTTCGAAATCTGAAACTCTTACATCTCCTGATTTGGAAGTTCCTGGCACTCTTTAAAGAGACTCAGTATTGTATGATGACCTTGGTAATCGTCAAAGAATACGAATGAAACCCACAGTTACGGCCAGTTCTTCTTCCTATTACTATTCCTGTTATCGTTATCACTCCCCCACTGCACATCCCTTCATCCCTTCATCCCCCCTCCCCCCGCCCCCCGCCCCCCAACCCAACGTCAACCCCTTCAATAGCCTTTACTGTTATCACTGATGTATCGCCAATGGTGACCAGGCAAACGTCCAGACCAGGATCCAGATGGACTGGATGTGGTTGTCGGGGTCCGGTGTCTTCCCTGGTACGTCTGCATAGGGTCCCCCTAAAGAAAATTTAAGAAAATTAGAGGGTGCCTACCTGGGACCTTTGCCGGGTCCTAGGCACCCGCCCAGAAATGGTACTGCAAATTTTCAGCCAGTTTCGGGCGAACGGACTATGCCAGACCGTGCAAGGTTGCTAACAGTTGCTGGAGCGGGATTGGGTTGGCGCCTACAATAGGCCGCCTGGGCAGGGAGGATCCCACCCCGTTGTTGTTCCCACCCACATTGTTGTTGCGCCCTCCGAGAGCCGCCACCCCTCCCTGCATCGTTGGCCTTGGAAGTGATACGTGGCGAGGAGTAGGAACGAGGAGGGCAGCCGCAGAGGTGCAGGAGGACAAGGGGCACAGAGGAGGGAGGAGTAGGAGGGAGGATTGCGGCCATAGCGGCGAGGCGAGTTGAGGGGTGTGAAGGAGGGAGGAGTAGAGGGGAGGAGTGCAGCCATAGCGGTGAGAGGAGGCCAAGGGCTGGGAAGGAGGAAGAGGAGGGACTCCAAGGGAGGGCTATCACTATGGCGACTATGAGAGTAGGAGGACTAGGGGCAATGGGGAATAAGAGGAGGGACATGGATGCGGAAGAGGAGAGGGGAGGAGGAGGGACATGGATGAGGAGGAGAGGGGAGGAGGAGGAGGAGGGACAAGTACAACGGTTTCTTTTTGTGCTGCATCTCATTTCTACTGGATTTTCAACTCTTTAGTCTTTTGCATGTCTTTCTCGAGGACGACGACGTGGTCTGTGGACTGGTCCAACAAGATTGAAGGGCAGTGTTTCAGGCAGTCATTCAGGACATACCAGCGGCTCACGGGGATCAATCTTTAGTCCTCGTAGTCCTCTTCGATGAGTTTTTGAGTTGTGTTCAACATGTTCCCAGTAACCTCTGATGCACCCACTTTCATCCACCGTCTCCCCACGCTGCAGGTCCTTAAACCTCAGGTACAGCAGCTCGTCCCCACTTCGTAGACCCATCCGAGTCACTGTGGGAAGACATACAAACAGACAGGCAAACACACAGGCAGACAACCAGATGATAAAGACATGATACGTCTGTAAGCCCATAGTACGCACATTAGGACGATTTGGATTGAATCTTACCCTTAAGTTATTGTGCTGAGGCACATCCAGGAACCCACGTGTACCATTGTAGACGGTGTATTCCATACGCTAGAGTACAACGCCGTAACAACGGTGTAAAAGGACCTTATGCAGCATACTAAAGCATAGAGCAGTGTAGAATTTGTTGCATTTGCCGAGAGTGAGAGGGGGGGGAGGGGGGGCGGGGGGGAGGCCCACTTGCAGCGTACGAAGAGAAAAATAAAACCAACCTACCTCTCCCCCCTGCATAGCCCACCACCCCCTTTTAAATAGCCCCCCGGACAAGCAGCCCCCACCACTGACCCCCCCCAACCCCACACCCCCATAATGGCATAACCCGTATCCCACTTAGCCCAAACCCCCCATAAACCCCACCTTCCTTTCCCCCACTCCCCATACCCCCATACCCCCACCACACTCCACAACAGCGACAACACCAACCCCTGCATACCCCCCACAGCACCATACCCCATACCCCCGCATGATCACACCCTCATAACCCCAATTACACGCCCCACCTGTATGGGGATTGTACCACTGTACGCATTGTGTGTCGACCCTGAGTACAGTGTACAGGGTGCAACTTAGTCACGAACATGTTTGTTTGAGTTTTGAGTCTCCCCTATGCTAGACCAGTCCTCCATAGCCTACAACTGAAGACAAGTGACAAGGAGGGCAAAAACGGAAATTTAGGGCTCGATCCGATTTCCTGTGAATTTTCCTCATTTTCGTCTCAAAATGATATGCAACCAGATGGGGTTATATATATATTGTCACAAAGTTATCAGAGCGCAAAAGCGGAAAAAAAAA